GGTTCATTGTCTGTAAGATTTGCTTCCTGTCGTGGTGATATTCTTGTGTCAGTACTTCTGATTCGTGCCTTAATCCTACCTTTTTCCTTAGTTCTTGGGTAAGGAGTGCTAGAGCTGAACCATTCAGGTTGTTTTGCAGAGGCTGCTGTAGATCTGGTGGGAGACACGTAAGAGGTGACAAGATCTGGAGGCTACATCCTTTGTCCTCAAAGGACATGTGGTTTGATGTCATGGGCAGATACAACAGAAATGCCCTAATGGGTCGAGAACTGTCTTTCATCCAAGCCTACAACGATGCTTGTTCAGAAAGTAGCTCCCAATGCATTATCTTTCTCTGCAGAGAATCTTTTGCAGAACAGTGTGGATGAGAGCTGGACAGACACCAATTTAAACAGAGTCAGTGTTATTCAGTTCCTGGATGAACCCAAAGTAGATGATGAAGAGGAGTCTGGAGCTGAGAGACGGGTAAGAAAATAGAGTTTCTGGAGGCTTGTTAGCTCCCTGTGGAACCATAGGCACAATGTAAGCTTTTTTCCTAAGGTGGGGAGCCATTATGGTGTTCATGTAATACTGCTGCGGACATGTACTGTATTTTTGCAGTCCGAAGGGCGTTTGGTGCCCTGAAGAGACAAGCAGGTAAAAGAGAGAATTCCCTGAGAGCCTTTGTGCAGATTGACATTTTGATGGCTGTCCCGTGGGAGATGAGCTGTGACTGCTAACCTGCCCATGGTAGGTGAGCAGTCACGTAGTCCAGAGATCCGAATAGTCAGAGCACTGTCAGGACTGGATTTTGGTTGACCCCTCTCGTGGGGAAGAGCTGCACAGCCAAACTTGAGCCAGGCAATCTGCACCCCTCCAAGTGTAGAGCCAGAGGCAAGCCCATGCTGTGGAGTATCCTGTTACTGAAGTAGCTAAACACTGTAGACAGACAGCTTCAAAAACTATGGAAGAGCATTTTGCTTAAATTGCAGATGCAAAGAGTAGGATAAATGTTTCAGTTTTCAGCAAATACTCTGTTGGTTTAAATTTGCAGGATTTTTCTTCCTTTTTCTCTTGTGGAAAGAAAGTCTTTTGACATCTGAATCCTTCTAATAAATTGTATTTGCATCTATCCTTGCTGCATGTATATGCTGCTGGTGTTTGAAGGTTTTGTGGGCTTTTTTGGTTGTTTTTAACATGGTTATTAACTTTAGAATACATTTTTTCTTGTCTCTTAGCTGGGGTGGGACTAGCTAAGCATCACAAGTATAGTATATCACAGAATCACAGAATCACAGAATAGTAGGGGTTGGAAGGGCCCTCTGTGGGTCATCTAGTCCAACCCCCCTGCCGAAG